TGAGCAGAATCAGAACTGGTTGAGGTTGTTGGGAACAGTGGTGGTTCTAGAGTCTTCCAGCTGCTGGGAGGAAGGATCTGTGATAACGCCCCCTGGTGCATTTAAGGTGCAGCAATCTGTCACTGAAGGAGCTGTCCAGTTCAGCACCAGCTTCATGCATGGGGGGGGGACATTATCCCCATCTGAATGTGTCCCATGAGTGTGCAGGAATGAAGGCTACCATGCTAACAGAGCTTATACCTCTCTGAAGTCGTGTTCAAAGTGGCGCAGCTGCAGGCACTGCTCCAGCTTCAGATGATGCTTAGACCAGAACTGTTCAAATGCGTTTTCCGTCTCATCGAGCTGGGCCAGCAGCCTAGAAAACAAGGGACCTGCACTTCAAATACTGATCTAAAAACAACTAATAACTTGCTATATTTGTACATTTGCCCTTAATTTGAGCAGGTAAATAGGATGTCAATGGAATAAGTACATTTGCCCTTAAATTAGGCTTATTATATACTATGCACCTGAAATAAGACAACCTGCTCAGATGAAGGGAAAAGCCTCTTATTTTGAGAAATAAAACTTTTCTGAGTTACCTTTCTACCGTGGTTTGGTTCTCCAACTCATCAGGGTTGAGTCTGTGATCCTCGGACTTTGCCGCCTGATCCTTGATGCAGGCAAACAAGGTGTTGCCTTGTCTTAAAGCTAGTTTCAGTTCTTCCTGTTTTAGAAGAAAGAATTCAAAGCATCAAGAGCAGTTTATAAAACATTTTACACCTGGACCTGGAATAAGTGAGAACTGGGTGTAAATGGAGGGTAAATCCCTGTTTATTGTAGATTTTTAAAAAGCCAGACTCATTCATCTGGAGTCTAACTCTGGAGTCTAACCTAAGTCAGTCTGTAAACAACTGTTTGGTAGCAGGATTTGTTGACTGTTCTACATGAGCAAAGCTCTGACCCGAGGAAAAGGTCAGAAAACTCATTTAGAGAAGGAGTCTGAAGATGAAATTACTTTACTCAACAATTTTTTGATCTCTTAGTAAAATATGGCTCAAATTTCATTGATATCATATTTATCATAAACATCATATTTGCACTTTATGGTGAATTTTCAAATCCCTTTAAATAGAACTCAACTGAGTGATTCTACTGCATTTCTGCACCAAATCTATTTATTTATTTTGCACTGCTCTGAGCCTTCTCCATCAATAGAAGAATAGAATTCAACTTTATTGTCATCCTGCTGTCACAAGCACAGCGCAACGAAATGAATTCTCTGCATTTAACCCCTCCCCTTGGGGAGCAGTGGGCTGCCACAGTGTGGCGCCCGGGGAGCAGTGTGGGGTTAAGGGTCTGGCTCAGGGACCCAGAGTGGCAGTCTGTGGGAGTGGGACTCAAACTCAGAACCTCAGGAGTCCAAGCTCTATGCCCTGACCACTAGGTGCCCCCCCCCCAATGCCTTTTGCACCACGTCTCTCCCACACTGTTTACATTCTGATCACTGCTGCACTTTATAAATGCAAAGGTTCCCTGCTGAGCTGCTCATTGACTGATGGTTTCACCTGGATACATTCTGCTCTCTGTGTCATCCCACTCACACAGTGACTGGTCTCTGTGATGCTTGAACTTTATTCATTAATATTAGAAGTTGCACAGGTGAGAAAGGCGTCTTTTCCCTCCCTGGCCATAGATCGTGTTTTCTGCTTTTCATTGATGACTTCTTCTCCTTAAGCTTTTGCTAACCCTGAACTCTGATACAGAATTCAGAAAAAAGACCCAAAAAATCCTCTGAAGATCAGATTTGACAACATTTTGCTGAAGTCTGGAGACAATAAAGCTGCAGGTTCTGTACTTGTTACTTTATGTTACTCAGGCAGGCATCTCCCTGCATGTTAACCTCCCTTATTCTTCTGCCTGCACTGCTGCTATGCTATAAAGAAGGATGGTTGACAGCTCTGCCTTACCTTCAGGTTATTGTGTTTCTCAGTGTGCGCTGAAAGCAGGTCTTTGGTGCTCTGGACGTCATTGGGAAGCTCTGTCTCTGCCAGCTCTGTGCCAAACCTCTGCAGCATCTGCGCTGTAGTCTTCACAGTCAGGGCAAAGTTTTCTATTGCCTGAGGAAAAACAAGAACATGTGATTTCAAAGCATTCTGCAGCCGTTCCAAAAGGGGAGACATGTGGTAGAGACAAGGACACTGCTGGACATTATGGACAATGCCATCCACCCTCTGCACACTGTCTTCACCACTCAGTGGGAGATTGCTGTGAAAGTTAAATCTGTTGGGCTCTTTTTGGCATCAAGACAATTATTCTTATTGCCACATTGCCAGACAGGACACTGTAAAAAAATAAATAAAATAAACAATGGATCAGTTGAAATTGAATTTCTAGAGAGAAATTTAAAATTTAATTTATCCAATAAAATAGAGAAAATATAGTTATAACATCTGAACTGTGATCATCAGTTTATTTAAATTGATCCAGTTCTGATGAGCAGAACTTCTACCTGTCCTGCTTTACATTCAGTTGTTTCTTTATTTTACATTTTCTGTCTTTAATGTTCATCTTCTTTTTTATGATTCTTGATTTTTTTATAATCTCCTAACTTCTCTTTGTGAGATCATCATTTATTTTATATCTATAACCTTCAGTTTTCTTGCTTGTTTGACTTTTTCTCTTCATCATGTCTTCTGCAAACTTAGCTGCAGTTTCCTTATTTGGTTATTTAATAATAATAATGATGTCAATCTACGCAGTACTGCTGGTGATTAGGATTAGACATTGGAAAGTGCTGAAAACGTCCCAAAAGATAAAACTTGATCCCATAACTTTACTTACTCAAGAACTCAACATAAACTTTGGATTTCAAGTTCTTTTCATAACATTTGATGATATTCCAGATTTATTTACAGCTCAATGTGCCTTATCGGCAGCCATCTTGGATTTCATGAGTGGAACCAAAAGAAGAACCTTCATGTATCTGTCAATTGCATGAAAATACAAACATATTAAAATCATTAAAATACAATAATGATTAAGGGGCTTTTTTTGTTTCATACGGTAATAAAAGTAAAGAAACTGAGAGTAGTCCTTAAAGGCTAAGCTTGTCAGGTCAAAAATCAAAAAATCTAAAATACTGAAAACAGACATGAGGAGCCAGGAAATGACTGAGCAAAACAAAAGCACAAAACAACAACAGGGATCCAGCAAACAGTGACTGAACATGAGGTAAGTAAAGGGGAGACTGAACAAAGAGCAGGCTAATCAGCAGATTGGGAGCAGGTGTGGACAGAGGAGTCTAGAAGGGAGCTAGGAGAAAAGAGGCTGACACAAGAGGGCAGCAGAGGGCAAACAATACCTAAGAACTCAAAACAATGCAAAATAACTAGAATAAAACAAATGGAAATAAAACCAATAAACTAGAAAACACAGAAAGACATGATTCAAAGTATAACAGTAAAAAAGAAAACTTAAACAGAAGCAGAAAGTTCAGAGTCATGACAAAGTGTCCTTAGCTCAGTGTTACCAATCAGTTCTGACTCACAGTTCTGTGGTGGATCCACTGGCTGTGAGAGTATTCCAGACTACCTCCAAATTCCTGGGTCAGTTGACTTTTATCCACATACCCATGAAGATCTGCCAGGGAGTTCAGCATAACCACCTGAAAGAGAAGGATTATAACCTATACTGTGACACAAACACTGCTGGAAGGATAAGAGTCTTTAAGGCAAACACGGTCAGCCAAATTCAGGACACGTCTCTTTAAGACGGACACGTGCAGACGCAGCCGTTGGTTAACCAACTGTCCTGCAACGACCCAACAGGGATCCTCGCTGTGAGAAGCCGGTGTTGCAGCGTGTTTTTTGTTGTTTTTTTGACTAAGCCATAAGTTACCATTAAGTTTTAGAGCCCCCCCCCCTTCTTCCACCCAGAGCCGACTCAGTAAAACCCTCTCAATATCCCATCGGATGCTCAGTCAAGGTGCTTAGCTTAGGCGTGGCTTAGCTTAGGCGAGAGTCGGGTTCCTTTAATCTACCAGAACTCATGGTATGAATGAATGTCGTGTGACCGCCTGCTATTGCGTTCATTTTGATTTCCTGTTTCCTTTTGTGCTGAAATTAGCGTGTTAGAAGTGAACTGAGAGAATTGTAAGACGTCTTACGCCTCGTGCGACTGCATTGTAGGGGCAGCCATTTTCTGAGTTTTCAAAACCTATTGTCCTGAGATTTGTGGGGTTAAATTTAGCCATAACCCTTCTTTCAGCGCTGTTACTCCACCTCCTTTGACCATGGTAGGGGGGCGGCCATTTTATGGCTCGTTGCCTTAATAAAGCTATCCTAGCTGGGTTTTAGATGTACGTAGGCTAGCCGACGTGCTACAATGCTGTATAGTTAATGTGAACCATTAACCATTGTAAAATTATAGAGAGCCGTTTAAACGCACTTTTAGAAACTTTTTGCTTCCTTCCAAATTATTCCTTTAATCTACCTCATGTTTATTTTCTTGTGCAGTTTTTGCATGGATGTTAAATTTCCCATAATCCTTGATTGTTAGAAATAAAGACATAATTTTAACCCGTAGTAGTTTATGTTTATTGTGCAACGAATGATTTATCACTGAGTTCAGACTCACTTTCCTCTTAGTAACATTTGAATGAGCAGTTTTCTTTGGTTGGTGATTAATAACTCTGCTGATAGCCACAGTCTAAACCAGCCGGTCCAGGAGTCTAACTTTGGATGGAAAAGACCAAGAATCCTGGTGAGTAAGTGGATTAGAGTTATAATAATTATTCAACTAAATGGTAAATTGTCTGTAACTTTTATAGCACTTTTAAATTCAGGAACTTTACATTAAATCATTCATTCATAAACTGATGGTGGTGAGCTGCATTGTAGCCACAGCTACCCTGGGGCTCACTGATAGACGCCAGGCTGCCGTACGCTGGCGCCACCATCTGACCACCACAGTAGGCAATGCTGGTGAAGTGTCTTGCCCGAGGACAAATTGACACTGAAAGCTGAGCTGGGGCTTGAACCAGCAACAGTTTGCAGGGCAGACTGCTGCACCCGTCGCCACTGTTGACCCTCTTAACATTCAATTGATATTTCCCTCGGTTTTAAATGACCTTTTAATTAACAAACAACTTGCAGTTCAAGTTAATCATATATTCATAATCTGCTGATAAAATATCACAGCAGCATTAAAAGTTCATAACAGTGTCCAGCGTTCTACTATGAAGTTTATTATCTTTAAACTTCCAAGACTGAAAAAGTCTGTAATTTAAACATTGAGCTGATTGATACCAATTTATATCAATATTATATAAATATCAATGTTTTTTAAGAAAAAAATAATCTGAATCTGAATGAATTAAGACTATCATGAGTCATAGGATTAGCAAGTACAGAGTTGAAGCTACTAATGTTCTCTCTGACATGTCTAGTTCTATGTTTTCTGCTTGACATTATGTTATATCCATGTTATATGTTTATCGGCTGTTGGTTTCATTGCATCTTTTTTCATTGTCTGTCCAGATTTATATTTTTAAAGTTAAATCTGGTCCAGCTTTTATCTGTTTTGGTTCCTTTAGCTGTAGAAGAAAAGCAGAATGTTCTTGCTTTTCTGTGTGTTGGTGAAGATTCTCACTCCTCCAGAACATAAAGTCTTAAATAACTTAAAAGGTTACAAGACTTTTTAAAATCTTTTTTCTTGAATAAGTTTTAGCTCTTAAGCAGAAGGCATATTTACTGCTTCTTCAATGTTCATAGGTTGAGAGTGTAAAATTGGAAGTCACCGTAGCTCTTCAGGAAATGTTATCCATTAAAATCCCGTTAGCCAATGGGCTTCCCCGATGATGCTATCATTAACCCTTAGTTTCTCTTTGTTAAGTATATTTCAGGATGTTTTCAGGTGTTTAGTTTTTCCACTGTTAGCCCTCAGGAAGAAGAGGCGCAGGACTCCGTCTGACCAGAACCAAGATCTATTGAAGCTTCCTTCCCAACAGGAGAATATTTGGCAGCGCTAACCTTTCTACACTGATGTATTGCCTGCTACCAGGAAATGGGATTATAAAGGTTTGCTTTTGTGATTTTGTTTTTAGACATTTTTTTCCGCTTATTTTCTGTTTATTTTGTTGATATATTTCCTAACGGTACATTTATATTAAAATGGGTCATATTTAGAGGGAGCCTTACAATAGATACTACTTTTCAGTGATTCAGTTTTTTGAGGTGGAAAAATAATTTTGGAAAAGTTCTGGCCAACTTTGGAACAAATGTTTATAATAGAGTTTCTTTAAAGTCCTGACAGAAATAGAAAATGGCAGCCATTCATCTATTTTAGGTAAAAAATGAAACATTTTAAAGAAAAATCTGCAACTGTTTAAGGTTATAGCAGAGAATCTTTGCTCTAAGTATGAAAGTTGATGGAAAGTTTTTATCCTAATAGTAAATCATTCCTTGACTGAAAGCGGCTCCTCTGTACCTTCATTTTGAAGTCATCTTTGTGGAGTTTTATTCCAATATCTGCTATTGTCCTCTGAAAGAATCTGGATGGCCTCAGCACCAGCACCAGCTGAAGGTTTCCTGGAAACGCACCCTAAAGAAACAACAAGACACAGGTCAGCGATCGCTGTGCTGAGGAAGAACCTAGAAAAGCAAGAATAACACCTTTAATCTCTGCTTTAAAGGAAGTTCCCAGAGCTGTTACATCTTTTCCTGCCTTTTAATAATTAGGTTTGTGCAAAATTTAGGAACATGAACAAAAAAGACACCTGATGAGTTAAATGAAATCAAAGTGACAGAACTTTTATTTTATTTTATTCCTCAGAGACGCTTCATGGTTTCTGACTTTATCAGGGAATGTTCCCGTCTTTCTTCATTTCTCTTTAGGGATGAAACAGGCCAGTCTGCGTCAGTGACAATGAAGAAAACTACGTCCAGATTCTTTGGCTGAAAGCAGAGAACATCTCTGTGGCTGAAGTTACCTTTCATTTACTTTTGGCTTTCTCTTTTAATCAGAAACTTGTTTTCCTTATTAAATTCTAATAAATAAGCCTTAAGTGTGGTGGAAACTTTAGGACATCCTAATGCCTCAGGAAAAAGATCAAAGGAATTAGAAGGAAGAAAGAACTAAAAGAAGTTTTTAAAAGCAGGCATCACATAACACATCTTAAGCATGATGCTTCCGGATGGTTCCCAATGGTTCCTGTTGGTTCCTGGTACAATTTTCCATTTTTTACTGATTTTTTACTGATTTCAGTTTCCTTTTTTTCCAGAAACCCGAGGATGTCCTAAAATTGACTCTCTATCGACGTCTCTGACAGTTTAATCCATTATTTTTATTTCTGCCAAGGAGGTCATGTTTTTATCTGTGTTGGTTTTTGCCTGCTGATCTGTTTTTTTGAAAATATCTAAAATTTTATGGAGAGATTTTGCTAAAATCTCCAGAGAAGGTCTGCAATATCACTGGCGTAATAGATTATGTTTTGGTGATGATCCGATTCAACATCTGGATCTGGAAATTTTTGCAAAGATTCTGTGAATACAGGAAATAACTTAAGGTGGGAATCTCAATTTGTCAGGAAAACCAGATATTTGGTGGAGGTTTACGTCTCTGAGTGCTTTTCTAGTTGTTTATCGCACTTTCTTTCTTTTCTTCAACATTTGACCCCATTTTAATGGAAAATGAAATCAGTAAATCTGTCTGGAAATGCAACTGCTGCCACAGAGAAATTTAAGGTGACTTATTTGGAGAACTCACGGCGATCCGGGACAGAGAGGCCTTCACTGAACTCCATTTATCCTTCCTCCGATCAATGATGATGATGAAGCCGATGCTTGCAGCATCCAAGCTGGGGACAAGGGAAGCATCGGAAAGTAAAGTGTTATTATTTTATCAAAACGCTGCAAACTGAGAGCAAAATGAAATTATCTTTAGCATTACAAGGAAAACAAGCATTTCGGTCCACAGATTATAAATACTTATGGGGACCCTTGGACAATAAACTGGACTGGACTAAAATAACATGGATGCCCTCTAGAGGAAGGACAAGAGCGTCTCTGTTTTCTGAGGCTGCTGAGGTCCTTCAACATCTGCCGGACAATGCTGCAGATGTTTTATGATTCTGAGTGTTTTTGTTTCAATCCCAATAATTTCTGCTGTAGAAATTCAGAGTAAAACCTCGGAATCTGTGAAGACAGACTGAAAGTCAAAAGCTTTATTTGTTTGCTTCCTTTTTTCATGTGTTTCCATACATACCTGGGGATACTGGTCAGGTAGGTAACGACATTCAGGAAATCTTCCTCTGGTACTTCACTAAAGCCTGAGTACTCCGGGAAAGTGATGATGGGGGCTCCATCCTTCCCTCTCCCTCCTGCAGCACAAAGAATGCCAGCTTATATTTACTGCCTTCATTTCAAGAACAAAAACAGAATAATTCTCTATAAATGCTGCAAAGGTCAAAGGTCTCAGCCTCTCTGCTGACATCACACTCTATAACACACAGTTTCAATGTTTTCTTGTCTGTCAATCATAATATTTTAACAGAAGTGTACAACAGGAGGCTAACGGCAGACCTCCTGCTCATCCTCTTCACAACCTGCCCACCACACTTCACCATCAGCCTCCTCCCACCTGCAGGTGGTCCATGAGGCAGACAACTTCAGCTTCCCAGGAAGATTGTGGAGATAATCTTATGATCTTATGGTCAGTTCAATGCAAGACCGTCCTCCTGGTGGAGCTCACCATCCCGTGGGAGCAGGGCATGGAGGCAACGCCGAGTGGAGAGAGGCTGGCTGGAAAGCCGTCACATGCTCCATCCAGGTGGGCTGAAGGGGATTTGTTGGGCCGTTGATGGTCTGCCTGCTCCTCGGATGCACTGGAGCTGGACGTCGCAAAGCAATCAGGAAATGACAGAGAAGGGCAGATTCTGGCTAAGGAGGAGAGATTGGGGGTGGGGCCTAACACCATCAGCAGGGAGAGATCCCTGCCATCGCTGCGCCACCAAGAGATGAACCGGGGTTAAAGCAGAGAAACGTCCATGACTGCTGGTCCCCAGCTGATGACCCAATCAAGTCCAGGAGTCTCCAAGGTGGACTAGTTTAAGGCACTGGTGCAGGTGCATCAGGCAGCAACGCCCCTAATTTTTACCCTTTCTTATTTATATCAAATATCATGAAACAATGAATAAATAATAATGCATTTTTCAATCTGGTTCCAAACCTTTAAACTCACATTAAATGTTAATCATTCTAACCTCATGTTATGTTAAGGCCCAAAGGACAAAAGGAAAGAAGGGAATTTATTAGTAGAGAATGAAGAAATGTTTTCTAATCTAGACCATCCTTGGTGAAAAGGTTGGTCTTTCTAAAATACAGAAATCACTCTTTCATCTATTGCCCTAACTTTGCCTCATTTATCATTGTGCAATAAATATCTCACATTTATTTAATACATTTTATCACATATTAATAAAATCCTGCTGTTTCAGCAGTGATTTCTAAGATTAGCAACTTATACAGAAACAGTAGCATTATTTAACACAGACAGACAGACAGACAGACTGAGAGAAGCACAGACAGACAGATGGACAGAAGGACAGACAGACAGACAGAGAGACAGACAGACAGACAGACAGACAGACAGAAGGACAGACAGAGAGACAGAAGCACAGACAGACAGACAGACAGACTGACTGAGAGAAGCACAGACAGACAGATGGACAGAAGGACAGACAGACAGACAGACAGAAGGACAGAGAGACAGAAGGACAGAAGGACAGACAGACAGAAGGACAGACAGACAGACAGACAGACAGAAGCACAGACAGACAGATGGACAGAAGCACAGACAGACAGACAGACAGACAGACAGACAGATGGACAGAAGGACAGACAGGCAGACAGACAGAAGCACAGACAGACAGACAGACAGACAGATGGACAGAAGGACAGACAGACAGACAGACAGAAGCACAGACAGACAGACAGACAGACAGACAGACAGATGGACAGATGGACAGAAGGACAGACAGACAGACAGAAGCACAGACAGACAGACAGATGGACAGAAGGACAGACAGACAGACAGAAGCACAGACAGACAGACAGACAGATAGAAGCACAGATAGACAGACACTTTCCCACTTTAGATGAATATTAGATGTTTTAAACATCTTTTTAAATCCCTTTTCAACCCAATCTAGACGCCATTTGGACGTAAATCATGTCGTCTGCTCTATCAATTGTTGCTCGTTGGGAAATCTCCATCAAACGCTGTTTAAAACATCATGGAGCTTTTATCAAGATCCAGTTTTTATAGCTTATATCTTATAGAAACCTTTAAAGCCCTTTATTGACCAGATTTTATGATTAAATGTTTCACCAGATTAGATCTTTACTTAATATTCATACATCATTGTTACTATGTTCTATATATTTTATATATTTATTGGTTTGTGTCAGCCATGGTTTTAACCTCACATTAACTCTATGTGTCACTTTAAAACTTGGGGATAGAGTTAGAGAGAGTAGAAGTCGTCATTAACAGCTAGGTTCCAAGGTTCTACAGCGGAGAACATCCTGATGTCAGGAAATCACCTGGGCTTCACTTTGGAAAATAAAAGTATTTGATAGGGACAGAAAGAAACAGGAGAAATAGGATAAAATTTGGCTCTTAAAATGATTTAAATTGGATTTTTGCTTTTCAACATGGAGATTTCTCCAGAAAGCACCAGCTATTCCCTACAGAAACACTTAAATACAGAAAGAGCTTAATCTAAGGACACTTGTTTAGAAGTTGTACTCTGACATACAGGACAGTAGATGGCGCCGTTTAACATGCAGACATTCAGAGGAAGATAGCTTTGTAGAAGCTAACACATAGAAAAGAATCTTATGGTTTACCAGTAATTATTCAGGTTTCTGCTTTTGTGCTGCTTCCCTCTTTAACAAAATATTGTTTGACTGAACTTCTAAACTTCCTCTGCTCTCAGGAGGCTCCCATGTTTATAGAAGAGCTAAAACATATCCAGCCTATAAACATCTAACCAGAGCATCAAAGCCGGTTTGAAAACAGACACGCTCTTAAAAGACACAGAGGGAGAAACATTTTCACAGCTTTGTGTTTGAAAACTGAAAGAAGGAATGAGAGGCATCCTGGCAGAACCACAAAGGCTGCTGGGTTTGGGTTCCACATCTGGAAAGTCTGAGAGCACCGGACTAATTAGAGGCCTGACAGCATCCACATTCCTGGCTAGTCTTTAAAAATAACAGTTATGTGATTTTCTAGCCTCGGCTAAAGAACATGAGGAGAAGCTGGGCTTGTTTTGCTATCAAACATGCATGAAGTGAAGTATAGACTGTCCACTTCCACATGGAAGACCAAGTATTGCTGCAGATGGGTTCACTGACTCACCCTTATAGGGTTATTTTTAGATTTAAACATTTCTCATTGTCCAGCTGGACCGGACATCCACGGCAGGCCTTAAGGCCGTCCTTTATGAGAATGATAACAAAAAATGCTTTGTCTCACATGTGACCTTATAACGCTTCTAAAAGCATTAACTTTTATTTAACTCCTTTTTTAAACAATTCCTGTTTGCTTCAGAACATCAACCTGCTAAAACTGCTGCATGTCTCTAGATGATCATTAATCAACTGTATTTAATTAGCAGCATCCTGCTGCCTTTTTTTTCTCACCTGGTTGAGAGAAACCAGAGTGTTTCTAGGTGTGCGGGACAGCATTGAAAACAAGCAAAGGTGTGATGGAGAAGGTTAGTCATTCACCTGAAAGCAAGGCAAACTGGCGATGAAGCTGCTCTATGATGTCCACAGCCAGCAGGGGCCTGATCTCCTGCTGCATGATCTCATCTGCAACAAAACAAACTCGTCACAATCATGATAACCATGCATTCATCAGTATATTAGTCAAAGTTACTGTGTTAAAGGGGCCCAGTTACGTACTGTGACCGTACCAATATCGACTCTCTCAGTAAATGATGGAGACCTGTTGGCTAATCATATTTTATTTCTGTGATCCACACTTTATTGTTATTCTGTTTGTCAAAAAAAAAATCTTATTTTAAAGTATTTATACCATAGAAAGAGAAAATAGTGTAAAAAATATGTTCATGCTGAAAAGGACTAAGTACAGTCTACAAAGAAGAAGAACATTGTTTTATTCCATGATGCGGTTTTATATCAGTACGTGACTAGAACCCCTTTATAAGCTTAACGGCAGGTAAACTGAAAAAGTCTAAATTAATTCCAACAATAAAATCAGTCACTTTGTAAAGATGCTTTTAAAGATCATACCCAGATAGAATACAGTATAAAACCAATCAGCTGGTTATGAAACATAAAGAACAGGTTTGATCAGCTGACACCAATCAGCTGGATGTTTGTGCTGCAGTCTGTCATTCCTAGCAGGTTTAGCCCCTAAAGGCTGTTAGCATGAACCTGCCTAAAATCACCTGTCTGATATAAACCAGGTGCATCTATAAAGTGTGATTTAAAAAGTTTCTATTTAGCAGAAGGAAAGACTTGGAAGAACTGACATCCTCCAGACCTTCTCTGACCATTCTGCCATAGTTGGCCTCATCACAGGTGGAGACGATTCAGAGGACAGACAGGGGACCCAAAACTTGGTGGTCTGGTTCCAGCAGAACCACCTTCTTATGAATGCAGGAGAAACCAA